ACCTTTTTAATTTTAGAAGTTTTTATCTTTCTCGCGCGCGCTCCATACACACACACACACACACACACACATATAGCGATTTCCTCTGTCTTCCTGTCTTTACACGCAAACAATCGTATACATATTTTTTCTCTTTTTATTCATATACATAGAGGAGAATTTTCTTTAGATTATTCCTTCGAAAACGTGCTGATTTGCAAATATCAGTTAATTAACAAATGTTGCTTTTGTTTCTGCTACTATTTGCGTCAAAATTAATCAATCTTCCTTTTTCTTCGTTATCCTCTTTACAAGTTGAAATCTTCCATATTTTTTGTCCTTCATTATTTTGTTCTCCTTCCCGATCTCTGTAATGGACGGGCTGGTTCTAATTGCGGATAGACCACTTAGCAGGACATTATCTTAGTTAACGCTAGAGGAGACCTTAACTTATTGTTTTGTTAGTTTTTCTGTATGAAAACCATTAAGAATTAAAAAAAAAAGGTGAAATTCGATTGCATTGAATAGATTGGTGTTATTTTTCATTCTCATTATCCCTTCATCTCTCCAATATCCAAACAAGGTTGTCTCATTATATGTTTGTTTTTCATCTACTCGATGATGACTTTTAAAGTATAATCAAGCAAGTTTGTTTAAAATCAAGTTCCAAATAAATAATGGTTCATTGTAAACCCACCAATTAGAAATAAGTGTAAAGAGTTATGAAGTATGAATTTTTAAATTATGAATTGCAAAAAAAAAAAAAAAAGGCGCGTATCATCATGAAACCTTTTGTAGCTAAGATTATACGCAAGTTGGAGCGATTTCATTTATTTCAATTTGAACAGGTCAGGGGAAAAGGCTACATGTATCAAGAGTCGTTTATTGAACAAAATCCAACTAATGACTTGCAGTTTTCATCATCCAAAGGAATGAATATGGTTCTTTTAAAAAAGTACAGCGTGTGTGGATATTTAGAGGAAAGCTAGAAGAAAGGACTAACACTGAATTGTAAGAAGACAGAATGTACAGTTGTCAGCAATAGAAAAAACAAAACGATATGCAAACTACGAATCGGAGATCAAACATGTAGAAAAGTTTATATAACTAAAAAGTGTTTTAACAGAAGATGGAAAATATGACACCGAAATCCGAAGACGCTTTGGATTGACGAAAGATGCCTTCTAAAAACCAAACAAAGTATTAAGAAACAGGAACATTTCGTTAGAAATAGAAGAGTACTGAAATTCTATGTAATATCTATCCTCTTCTATGCCACTGAATGCTGGACAATTTCCTTTAGACTAAAGGCAACAGAAATGTTATTTTACAGAAGTATCTTGAGAATACTATAGATGGAGCGCGTAACTAACGAGGAAGTCTTTGAGAAAATGGAAGCACAAAACAGAACTTATACTCAGACACAGATAATGAGCAAGGAAAACTTGGAGAATTGGACACACACAGAAGACATATCGAAAGTAAAAGACAATGAGAGAGGCACGAGATACTTACCGGAACGGCGGGTTTGGGGAATGATAAATAAAATTTAACCAATAGCTAAAAAGGATAGGAATTTGCGGAATGGACAAGACACATCGAACAAGAAGAAGGAAGAGTCGCACATATCTACATCCACCTTCTTGGCATTTCTTCCCTCATCTAATGGCAACGTGGTGTCCAGGACTCCTGATTGAGTATCAGTTGTAGTGAATCGCAGGATCAAACTTCGATGCAAGGAATGTCTTTCTTACGCTTTACAGCACCAATTTGAATTCATATTTAATTTTCCAAGAATGGTTGCTGCCCAAGATGAGAGGCTACACTACGTCCATCTTTTAGTTTTTGTAGAGAAATAATTTTATGTTTACGTACGCACACACGTGTATATATATATATATATATATATATATATATATATATATTATTGTCAACTGGAAAAACGCTAATGCATAGATGTTTCGAAATAACATCTGACTATGCATTTCACCGATTAGGCTTCATCAGATCGAAGGCGAAAAATAAGTTGCGTTGCGTTTGTATGTATTTGTGTAAGTTTAAAATAATGGAATCTTACATGTTTCCCAAGCTGGTGTTGATTTTGAGTAATTCGCGAAATGCATAGGCGAAATATGTGAATAATGTAACAATGTCGGGATTATATACCCAAGTTTATAACACGCACGCACGCACGCACGCGCGCGCGCGCACACACACACACAAGCAGAATTGTTCATAACCATTTTCGGTTCTCACCAGTCGAGGTGCAATTAAAATGCACCGAAACGAAATTGCATCTTTGTAGTGAGTAAACTGTTTTTGTCGATATGATAAAATTATAATAAATAATTATTGCTCTACTATCGGTATCGAGCCCTCTTTTGGATTAATGCTGTGAACGTTAGAATTTATATATTATTTTCGTTCTCACTGCATCGGACATATATATATATATATATATATATATATATATATATATAGTGTTAAGCAAAATTATTTAACTTGTCTCTATTCTGGGTTCCTTGGAAATCACTCTTCTGAAAAGTGAATCTAGTTTATTACGATTAATGCTTCATCACTATGGATACAATACTTTAAAAACATAGTCTTAAAGGCGCCATCTTAAGGGCATACTCTAGTCGAATTTGTACTTCTTGAAATATAATTTTTTATTAAATTTAAATGACAAAATCTGTCTGCTTGTCCACATTGTGATTAAGTTGTCCAAAGTTCATACCTTCGTTGCGTTTTTGTTCGAGTATTTTCAATCGTCTCGTTTATTATCTGGAATTCAATTCTGTCAATTTCCTAGACATTGCGTGACATCATGTGTAGAACAGTTCCACGGAGCTTGACAAGAACAACAACAATGTGTGTCTGTGTGTGTGTGTGTGTGTGTGTGTGTGTGTGTGTGTGAATGTGTATTATGTATGTACCAAAGTCTACAAATAAAAGTACGGTATATAACTATTCAACCAATCTACAGTTACTAAAAAAGTCCAGTTAAAATTTTTGCATATACATAAAATACTCACACACACACACACACACACATTTATATATATATACATACATACATACATATACATATATATATATATATATATATATATATATATATATATATATATATATATGGAGATTAACCAAGCTTTTACAAATTTAAAAGTAAATGATAATATATAAAAATGTTGTAAAAATATGAAAAATGTATAAAATGTTTTTCATATAAAAAGTGTTATAAGTGTACAAAATTTTAAATACAAAAATGTATAAAGTTTATAAAAATGTATAAACATGTTTAAATATAAAATTGTGTCAAATATATAAAAATGTATAAACTATTTTAAAAATTACTGGAAATACAAAAAAATTTTAATAAATATAAAAAATATATATTATTTCTTGATTGGATAAATTCCTTGCTAAATTGATCTGAAAATATATTCTCTGGGTAATTAAGACTGTTAATTCATGAATTTTTAAAATACTGACCCATTTTAGAAGTTTTATTTCTAAAAGCCTACAAATTTTGCAATTCATGCCGTGATTAATGTGCGCAGACGTGTCTATATGTTTATTCGGAGAGAGAAATTAACGCTTTCTCTTTTCATTTAACTTCACAGATTGTATATGTTTCAAAGCGAAGACCCAAAAGAGTTGTAATTTCCAGCTAAAACTTCAGAAGTCTTAATGTTATTGTAGGATGAAATCTAAAGCGGAATAAACAGAATCTTTAACGCTAGTATATATAAATACATTTGAATTGGAATTTCAGAGAAATCATTTCAAGGCGATGCGATTAAGAGATTACCGTATATAACAGCCGACCGTAAAAGGTCGGAGGGGGGGGGACGCATCGAATTAAACGTTGAGTGCAAAACCTTTAAAGATGATGATATTAGTTTAGATAATTAACCAATATTGTAAAATAGCGACTGTTACAGATTTACAAGATTTTGGAAATTACACTTTTTACTTTCGTTAATCGAAGTTCCTGATCAGCTTCCATTAGATGAACTTTGGCTTCGATTTGAATATAAATTTATCAATTTTAGCAGCGTTTTACAATCATTCCCGCCAAACTACAACGAAATATGAAGTAAACTGAAAATTGAAAAAGTGAATATTAAAAAAAAAAAAAGGTCAAAAAGCATAGGGCTACCTTTTTATTTTTACTTTTCAATTTTTTTTTTAATGCCGTATGCCTTCTGAACATAAACGCCCATAACTCTGTCACACATTATGAAATGGACAAGGTCCGACAATTATTTTAAGACATTTTTATGTTTATACATTCTTTTTATAGATACAAATATTTAAGTAAATGCTCTGTTTTATAATATAACAGTATTAAACAACCTGTCCGAGAAATTTTCATAGGAAATATTCTTCCTCCGACAGGAATCGAAACTGTATCCTATACGAAACCATCATATAGCCTGAAACGGTTAAGGCACGTTAGGCTATATGACGGTTCCGTATATGATACAGGTTCGATTCCTGTCGGAGGTCGGTAAAGTGTTCATTTTTTTTTTAACTCTATCTTGTTAAAACATGGCGCAAAATAGTACGAGAAAGCCTCCATTTGTGTCATAGGACATGCATAGACTTGGTTTATTCTACTAATAGGACGTATTATTTGTCACTTCGATCTGGGAGAATCGTTAGCAAGCTAGTTTTGGTTGGCCTGAGTAATATGTTTTGTCCTCACTGGGCACACCTTGCTTGTGACCTTGTGCTAAGCTTAGTAAATAACAACAGTATTATTTCTTCTCGAACTGTGACAGTCCTTTGTTTGACGTAGATCATGGACATTACATTGAAGCTCTGGCTAAATGCGTGTTGGCGGGGGTGGATGTGACATGCTTGACAATCATGTCTCTGTTCGATTCAGGATCGTTCAAGGTTACATGTGCGTAAATGAATGTAATTGACCCGACTGGAAATTGAACTCGGCTCGCCGATTTCTCATTCTGTGCTGTCATTCATTGCAACACCCGCACACCACACATCGCAACCTACAGCACCTGGTATTCCCAATTGGTCACCTATCTAAGTACTGATTAGGCTGAACATGGCTTAACTTCGTTCTTAACTTCGGGATCCGGTATTTCAACATGATATGGGCGCAATGAGCTGTATTAGGTGTACACATCTGCAAATAAGCATGAATCTCTGAATGAAAGGCAGGCACTGTTCTAGTTTCTCTCCAGAGAACGGATAGAAACTCGACCTCTCCACCACAATGTATTCTTCATCAGCTATCTGACGATAGAGTAGAAATGTACTTTCCGACAATCTTTCAGTTTCTTTGTTATTTTTTTTTTTTTATTATAAGAAATATATTTAAGAACTCATTTTCTAGAAAGCTGATCCTACAAAGATTTTTAACCCCGAACCTCAATCGGTGAATGTGTCGTAAACTAATTTTTATATGATAAATATACATTTCTACCAGTGGGCTCCCTTGGAGTTAATATCCTCCCCATTGATAATACCTTGGCGACACATATTTCTATCCAGCTGCATCTCTCCCTCAGCACGTAACTGCTCTTTTCGGTGATTCAATTTGAGAACACTGGTTTACACCTTGTTTTATATTCAAATTTTACGTAAACAATAATAAAAGTAAAGAGTTTTATTTTTTTAACCAAAAGTCAGTAAAAGTGCGTGCGTATGTTTGTGTTTTTATATAGCTGTCAAAAAAAAGAAAAGAATTATTCCAATCATATTTGTTTAATTGCGTTATGCAATCTGAAAAGGAAGAGTACTGTACGTAAAGCGCAAGACTTCGAATATAAAATATTAAATATTTCATAAAAGCAGCATTTGTCTCTTTACAAAATAGCTAAAGACATATCCATGTTCTGGATGTCTGTATCATCTTCGGAGGATTTTGTTATTCCACTTTTTATGAAGATAAATTGTATCTTCTTCGCCGTAGAACTAATTTCATCCGATAAGTACGGACACGTCCGCAGCTACTTTCGGAAATTGAAGTGGCGTACTTCTCAAATTGTCTTAAACAGAAATCGATCGACACAATCTTACAGTGCTAGAACTATTCCCCAGAGCTCATTTTTCTACCCATTCATTTATTAATCTATCTCACTCTGTTCAAATCTATCTATCTATCTATCTATCTATCTATCTATCTATCTATCTATCTATCTATCTATCTATCTATCTATCTTTCTGTCTGTCTTTCTTTGTCTGTCTGTCTTTCTTTCTTTCTATCTATTTGTCTATCTTTCTTTCTTTCTATCTATTTGTCTATCTTTCTTTCTATCTATCTATTTGTCTGTCTTTCTTTCTATCTGTCTCTCTTCCTTTCTTTCTATCTATCTCTCTGTATATTTATCTATCATGTTTGTATGTATATAAATATCTGATTGAGTGTGTGTCTGCTGTATAAGAGTGTATTCATTGAGTTATTTATACATATAGATCTAAGATATACCCCTCCCCGAATTGACAATCTGAAAAAACATCGTCGTAGGAGATATCTAAATGTTCTTTTAGTCTCAGTAGTCATCGTATTTATCGACCTCACCGTTGTTTTGCAAGAACTTTTTGCAACTCAGCTCATATTGCAATTCGCTTCGATTTGTTTCGAATTCCTATACATAATACCACTGTACTCGGCGTACATGTTATGAAGATAAAATATCTGTCGTTGGTATCGCAAATTACTTTGATTCACATACAAGAATAGTGTTAAATATTTTCTGCTTATAAGCTATTTTTATAGATACAATTTATTTAAGTAAATGCTCTGTTTATAATTAAACATTAGTAATTACATTTACCAGGCTGAATGTTCATGAAATTTTGTAGAAAATGTGCGCTATCCAACAGGAATCGAACCTGTATTCCTATATAGAAACCGTCATTTGACCTTACGTGCTCTACCATTTAGCCAACATACATGTCCATGACAAATTTTAAATATAAAAGAAAGCAGTTCTAAAGATATTAAATTATTTAGAAAATATTATATAAATAATTTATACGATTAAAATAATTAATAATTATATTAAAATAATTATATATAAACAAGTAAGAAAATAACAACATTTACTTACTTTTAATGTCTGGCACCAAATTACATCACAGTGTCCTCCAGAGTTTACGATGACTAACACAATTTTAAGAATATTTTAGAATGTTCTTAATTTTAAAACTTTTAAAATTTAATATTTTTCTCCGCTTTAATCCATTTTTTTTTTAGGTACACGTTTGCAAATTTACACGATTACCTTGATTTCCTTCAGTGAACGAATCGCGTTAGTAAATAAAAACTTTCCTCTTCTCTTTATTCATATTGTCTTTTTACAGATATATTTTCAAACACACACACACATATGTTGGTTGTTGCGCGTATGGATATATATTCGTAGTGTTATGTACAAATAAATGAAATAATTTTTTTGTTTTGTATTATTCTTGGATGCAGCTCGTGCCATCTTAAGTTACAATGTCCCGGATGTAAAAAGGATGTGAATGAGCGCCAATCTTGCTTTCTTTCCACTCCATTAGAGCTCCTGGTGAATGGTTGCGTAGAGTGGCAAAGCAGATGATGCGCTGTCTTTCTGCTATTTGATCATGCCAAATTGGGTCATCTTTCCCGCCATAACTCAAACACTATTATCTAAAAGTGTCCGATTGCTGACTCTTGCCATGAGTTTGCCGGATCCAGAAATAGAAACTGTGTATCACTGATGTGCATCCTTCGTTAACAATGCGGACTTTGGTGCGTGAAAGACGGATATTATTCTAAAGATTGGTCGAATGTTGACGATTGTAGAAAAAAAAAGGTAACGAAAAACAAAACTGAATTGCATAAAAAGAGAAAATAAGAAAAAAAAAGGAAAAGAGTGAATTATGGCAGAAGCTAATATAAGAAAACAGAGAAAGCAAAAGAAAATATGAGTCTATGAAACTGACTGAATAAGAACATCAATTTTAATGAAGAAAAGAAAAAGAAGAAATGGAAGTAGAAAGAGAAGATGAAATGGGAGAATAAACAGAAAAGGAAATGGAAGAATAAAATGAAGAAAAAGATGAAAGGGTAGGATAAACAGTCGTAGAAAAAAAAAGAAATGGAAGAATAATCAGACGAAGAAAAAGAAGAAAAGGAAAGATAAACAGAAGAAAAAGAAGAAAAGGAAAGATAAACAGAAGAAAAAGAAGAATGGGAAGAATCAACAGAAGAAAAAAAAATGAAAGAATCAACAGAATAAGAAAAAGGAGACATGGAAGGATAAACAGAAGAAATGGGTGGAGAAATAGAAAAATCAGAAGAAATTATTATTAAACTATTTCAATCTGGTACTAGAACTTGTTCGATCAAATCGAATATTTGCAAGCAAATAAAAGAGAGAAAAAATAACTACAATTTTTTTTTTTAGATTAATAATATTTACATTTACCAAAGCCGGAGTAAATATGACAAGAGACCAAGGTTTGGAACATTTGTGAGAATCAAACTCATTCAAATAATAATATTCTATAATCAGAACAACAATTCCAACAAGATCCTTTTGTTGATACCTCGAATAGTGCTTGGCCTTTTGCAAAGTCACAAATATTAGGCACCCAGTATGGATTCGCTATAGTTGTCATAGGCTTTAAGACTCGCTTGCTAACTTTTAATCCACGAAGAAACGCTAAAGTCCAAAAATGAGTAAACGATGGACAAAGATTTGATAAGTTCAACGAAAGATAGTTGCTCTGTTGACTTCATATATTTACACATATTCCTCATATTTTTTACCTATGTTTATTTTAGGAAAAGAAATTGTTGGACTATGAGTTCATCACCTGCATTCAGCAGTTATAATATGAATCATACATCTAGCTATCAAAAGGCTTTCTCAGTGCTTCTAGTTTATAAATATGAACGAATGGCTGTGTAATAATAATAATAATAATAATAATAATAATAATAATAATGATAATAGTACTCGTGAAAATTTAGCGGTTTTCCTGTTTGGGATTTTTGATATATCCTAATATTTAATGACTAAATAAACTTATTGCGGGTTTCACGACTACAAAAAAAATAAAATCCCCTATTGCATTTTTAAATATTTGAGCCTAACAACTTTAACCAAATATGGTATTAACAGTCAAAAGTAGGAATACAGTTCCTTATTAAAAGAAGTAAGAGGTTACAAATGAAAATATTTAAAAATGAAAAGTTTTTCAACTTCACTGAAGCAGACGTTAAAAACCTGAGAGCTTTATCGCCTCTCCTATCTTTTCTTTCTTTTTTTTCTCTTTCTCACTGAAATTAAAGTGTTTCTGAAATTCCCTTTCCTTCTTTCATCGCGATCAAATCGGAATAGTTCATTAAGACGTGTTGGTAGGGCGTAACGTACGTGTTAACTAAGCAAGGAAGGGTCGAGCAGAATTTTGTGTTAATTCAATCTAACACATTTTTTTAATGAGCGTTTCTTCTGTTTTTATCTCTCTTTTTGTGTGCTTAAAAATTGTTGCCTATATTGCCTATAGCAATATCTTGGATATTGGTGCAACACAATCTTCCAAACTTATTCTGCCCAATCGGCTATCAAAACTCAAAGATAAAAAATGGATAGAAACAACTAGAAAATTATACAAAACAAGAAAAGAAACGCAGTTAAGGAATGAAAAACAAGGTTTGGTTGATTGATTTTGTTTAGTGGCATATCAACTTCTATGAATTATTTAATGCCGAAATCTAAATATTTGAAACAGAATTTTATGGTTTCAACTAAGTATATGCTATAAATAGCTATTGTTGGTAATTTTATTATAAATAGGTACTGTTGGTAATTTTAACATAAATATGTATTGTTGCTAAATTTAGCACAAATATGCATTGTTGGTATTTTTATATAAAAATGTATGTTTATATTTATATAAGGTTTTGGAGGTTCACTATTTGCCCATGGCTGGGACCCTAACAGGCGCTACCACCGGGGATGAGAGTGGACCTGGGAACAGCAGCAATGAGAAGTGTTTTGTGAATTACAAAAGTTACTGAATGAGGAATAACCAAAACGGAGTTGGAAATAAAATGCTAATCTTTATAACATCAACAAAATACAATACTCGCCAGCGGCGTGAAGTAGGTAAACCACTGCTA